AAGAGCCTCCAGAGGGCTCTGCAGGAAGTCAGGGGATGAACTAGACAGGGGGCAGGGAAATGGGGGGGCCAACCCTGCCTCCCCTGGGGCCTCAGGGCCCTGCAGTGCGCAGATCGCTGGGGACCGTTTGGCGGGATCCCACGTGAAGAGAGGGTCAGAGCTCCCAGGTGCCCAAGACCAGGATCCTTGGCCAGAACAGGATTCAACCTCCCACGTCCACCTCAGGAACCATCTCTGTGCCTTTTGGAACATTACAGAGATGCTTCTCCCTATCGCGGGATGAACGTTTAAGGTCTGGTGAAAGCCCCCACGTGTCTGAACTATAGCATGTGGCCCCGAAGCAGTCTACTCTAAGTTTGCAAGAGCTCCAGGCAGACTGCTGGGCTTCAGATCCCAGCTCCACCCCTTTCCTGGCTGGGTGACCTCGGGCAAGTTACTTAACCTCTCTTTTCCTTCTCACTGGCCAAAGACCCATGATAGGAATTTCTAATGCATAGGACTGCGGTGAGGATTAAGTGAATCGATGCATGTAAAATGGTTAGAACAGGCCTGCCACAGGGTAAGCCCTCAGAAGGGCCTGGGACACAGCAGCGCCTCCCCTCTCAGGGCATGGGGGACAGAGAGGGGTGAGGGTACAGCTGGTATTCTGGACTTTGTGCAAACACTGCCTCACCTCCTCCTGCCGGCACACCCATGTCACCATCTCCGAACAACGAGCAGACTGTGGCCCCTGGAACCCAGACCTCCTGCCTCCCTGCCCACTGCATTTTCAATTTCCTTCCCAAAGGCATTGGTCTTCTGGCCTCTGGCTGTCCACCCAAAACTAGGACCTGGCCCTCCTTCTCACCCCCATACCCCACACTCTGACTGCAGTCCTGGAAAATGCAGGCCTCGTGGGCACCAGGTTCCAGGACAGATAAACATCTACAGCATTTAGTCTCTCGAGCAATTGCCCCTATAGGTTAAATGGTGTCTAATTAAAGACCTCCCCCACAGTTACAGCAGTGGTTGCGTCTCTCGCGCTGTTCCAGGCTTGGCACAGCCTGCTCGCTTTAACAGAAGAAGGGCTGTCGTTAACGGAATTATTGTAGGCTGCACCAGACACTGTATGATCCAGATCAGGCCCAGGGCTGTGGGCTCTGCCTCTCAGAACCCGCCCACCGGAGGCAGCTGACAGGCCATTATTCTGTGTCCTGCAAACTGTGCAGTGATAAGGAAACCCCACCAATTTGATGCTTTATCTGGTTGCAGGTTGAGGGAAGATACTATTTCAATCAAGATAATGATTCCATTTCTTGGACGGAAATGAGATTTTTCTTTTTTTTTTCACCCCCTGGCCTCACGGGGGTGCCACCAAAATCAGTCTCGGGGCTGAAACAGGTCAGGCACAAGTTAGAGGATTTTTCTGGCAACCTCAGAGAGAGTATGAACATGAAGGGGGAGGGAAAGGGGGGAGTTTGCTTGCAAGAAAAAACACGCACACGCCAGGTCTATGAGATTACAAAGTCAGCTCTATTTGGCCATTTATAGGCATTAGGCAGCACCCAGGAAACCAAAATTAGGAAGATAAGCTCACAGAGCATGAGCATGATGGCCTGGATTTCAAACAAGGTAAAGGGCCTATCAAGGCAATAATGATAATGAAGCTCCAGAGACACGACACTCAGCCAGGACAGGACCCGGGTAGCCAACCTGCCCCCCGCCCCCCGGCACTCAGGGGGTACACTTCCTGTGTGACTTTGTAGACACGTGTCCTGGCTATTCTTTCACCTCCTATAACAGGGAGCTCCCCGACCTGGAGAGGGTCCTCCATCACTGACCAGCTCCTGTGCTGGGAAAGCACCTCTGAATCCTGGCAGTCACTCCATGAAAGGAAAACACGGTGAAGAGTCTACAAGGTGCTGGCACTAAAGGGCATCTAAACACACAGGAGTAACGAGCCCCGTTGCAGTGAGTCATCGAACAATATGCAAATGCCATTAGGCAATAAATACAGTGAGGCTGGAATAATTGGGACTAGGTGGTGAATTCTGTGAAATTTTACATTATTTTAAATATTTGAGGCTTTCAAGGGCTGTAATACAGCATCTCAAACTCTTTATCGGTGATTTGCCTTAATGAGGAAGTAGTAAAAATTTGCAATTCCAACATAGATTGTATATACAGTGTCTTTAAAAAGTTTGGAAGTGTCGGGTTTGGATGCATTTGGAACATTCTGTTGAGAGCAGACTGGGTGGATTGCTCTCTCTCTCTCTCTCTCTCTCTCTTTCTCTCCAAACAAAAGGCACATTTGAGCTCATCTGCTTTGGAAGGAAGACACCGACAGCGGTTGTCTCACTGTATTGCATTAGACGCACCAAAGCTTTGAAATCTACCCCCCCACCGTTGTCAGTGTGCATAGACTGTCCTCAGAAAGTAACCCCAAGCCCTGGTAACGTCGGGTGTCACCAGGAGGGGAGCCAGGCCACCTGGGGACAGACATGGGAAGGAGGCTTGTCACTGTATACCTTTTGGTATGTTTGCATTTAGAGTCATGGGACTGTATGACCTATTGAGAATAAAGTGAAAGTTTAAAAAAAAAAAGCACATACTTATTTCAGGGAAGACAGATTCTGGTACTACCGATTTCTATCGTAATACCTACGCTGTTAAAATGCAAGCTTACTACGATAAAAATTACTGCTAAGTCCGGTGAAAAACCACATCTGGTTGTCTTCACAGCTGGGGTGTACACAGGCAGAGGAGTAGATGCAACGCTGCCCCCTGGCCAGATCCCCTTCTCTGGCTGGGACACCTCCTCCCCCGCTGCCTTCACATGTGATGTTCTCCAGACCCTCACTCTTAGTCAAGGGCATGCCTTGGAAGCTATACCGGCAGCACCATCGTGGGAATAGCCGGTGGTGAATGAGGGTTATTTGAGGCCTGCCCCTGGTTGCCAAGCCAGATTATCCGTGCACTGCAATTCACATGGAAGGAGCCAAGGAAAGACTTGTCCTGACACATCCTCCTCTCTCCCTGACAAGTACTCCCCAAGAGTGCTCCCTGGATGCATCACAGCACCTGAATCTCTGCCTCAAGCTCTGCTTCTGGGAACTCGACCTGAATCGGCCAAACATCGGCTCCAAAGGGAGGCCTCCTTCCTTCCAGAGGTGGTAGAAATACACACATATGAGCTTTTTTTCTCTGAGAGCAGAGCCATCACCACCTTCCTGCCTGGCCCAAGATTGCCAGGTGACCCTGTACACCCCACGAAGGCCAGCACAAGCAAGATGCTAACTGGTCAGAATAGAGAGCCCCCACAACCAGACCCCTGAGGGCCCACCCAGATCCTCTTCTCCGGGACGAGTGAGCAGGAGCCAGGGGCAGACCCAGCAGGCCTGTCCCACAGTCAGAGACCCAGTGACGCGCAGCGGAGGGTTAGCACCAATGTCAGCTCTATCACCTATTAGCTAGCGGGCTCAAGAGAAATACTTATTCCTGGCCTCAGTTTCCTTACCTGCAAAATGGAAGTACCTCCAGAGCCTCTGCAAAGCCCATAGGAGAGGATGTTGGCGAGCATGCTGTGAGCTGCTAATGCCACATAGATACTGGCTGTGACTCTTGAGACTGAGAACATGCCAGCATCCCCTGCTTGCTGGGAACAGATAATTAAGCCTGATCAACTAACTAAATCTCAGCTGCCCCTCATCTTGGGCATCGTACCTAGAGCTCCCTATGCGAGAAGCAGCCCCGCAGAAAAGTGAGTGGACATGGGGAGCACCATCCTGGCGACTGTCCACCTGGAGCTCGGGATGACTCTTCGCTGACCTCCCGGGCCTCTGGCGGCCCTTAGCTGCAGCTGTCCAGAGAGGGCCATCCCTCTCGTTCTCTCTCTCTCTCTCTCTCTCTCTCTCTCTCTCTCTCTCTCCCTCTGTCTCTCTGAGATCTAGGGAGGCTCCCCAGTGTGGATTCCCTGTAATGCATCCAGTATCTGTATTGATCTCACATACAACCTCGGATTTGGTGGAAAATCCCTGTGGCCACTTTCACACGAATCACAGACAGATGGGTAGAAACTCAATTTTATTTACCCAAATGAGGGATACCTCGCTCTGTCCTGAGTCCTTGCACATCAACCATCCATGAAGCCACTTCTAGCCCTTTACCACCTGGTCCTGCCTAGTGTCACCAGCATCCTCGTCCCTCCCCTAAAGACCTGTGGCTGTGACACCCTCCACATGGGTCTTTGGGCATCCCCAGCCTGGCACCTGTTTCTTCTGCCCTCGGATGGCGTCCCTCCTCCATTGGCCTCTCTTCCAGCTCAAGCCCCTCTGTCCCCAGAAGTGTGCCCTAAGTACTCCTGTCCCCAGCACTTCTGGCTGTGGTGTGGGCACAAGAGCGGACCGTGTGCTTGGTCACAAACATCTTTAATAATGTCACCTGCAGGTCTCTTCTCCTCCTACACTGGATTGAAAGTGCTTCTGAAATAGAGCCTAGGCTGCTGTCTTTCTTGTTGCCTCTCAGAGCCTCCAGCCAGTTCCAGGCACCTGGCGATTAGAAACAATCTCAGCTGGAGGAACGGATTGGGTTGTATGACTGCTCTTCGTTTAACACACTGGTAACTGGCCTGTAGGAGAATTCACAGTTCTAAGTAGGGCCCACCTAGCAGTGAACTCGGAATTGCACAAACTGGTTGTTTGTGGCTCCAGGGCAAAACAACGCGCATCGTGCTTACCCCGCCCACCCAAGAGTCTCACTTTTCCCCAAAACACCAACCAACCGACCCCAAGGGAGTGACTCTCTTTCCTGCACTGGTGGCGGGAGGGCAGAGCCTGGGTTCCAACCATCCACCTTCCACACCAATGAGCCCTTACATTCTTGAGACCAGCCCCACCCAGCCAGACACACCTTCCAGAACCGATGCCATCAAGGTCATGCTCCTTTCCCCAAAACAGGGAAACCCGCCCACTCCCAGGAACAGTGTCAAACCACAGACCTAAACAAGCGAAATTCATACTCACCAGCAGTGATGCCTTCCTCTTAAATTTCAGGCCAGCAGTTTCCTTGCAAACCTGCTCATTTCCTGCAAAGAGAAGAAAGGGATGGAGAAGCATATTAGCATCTGCTCTGGTATCCTCTGGCAGTTTGCTGGCCGACCTCGGGCTCCTGCACCCTCTCTCCTCCTTACTCCCCACGGCCCTCTCCCCTCCCAGGAACACAGTGTGCTGGCTGGGTGGGCGCCCCTGGCGCCCCACACGCCTCCCTCCCCCTCCGCGGCGCCATGCCAGCCTCCGATTGACCACTGCCTCCAATTCCCTGAAGGCGCTGGGCTTCTTCCCACTCCGGAGTGAGGCCTCCTCTTCTGTAGCATGGGGTTGCCTAGCAACCCCGTGCGCCAGCTCGGAAGGCCCTCCTAAATTGGACCTCACAGCACAGGGCATCTCCTTGTACAGCTGCTTGAATCTTAACAATCTGGCTCTGAATAATAACACAATGGTAATTGCATGCACGGGCCCCAAAATACATTTAAATAATGTTCAAGAGCTGACACACACCAACAAAGGCCAGAAAATGCATCGTGGAGGTTGACTGTAAGGCCAGGCGGGACGTTCGGTGTGGGAGCGAGTTGACACGGAGGACTTGAGTTAATGACAATGCCAACCTGAACTGTGAATTCCCCTGCCTTTCTGCCTGAGTGTGTCACCACTTTAATGCACTTTAAGTGAGTTTGGGATCTGTAGAGGCAATTAATGCCCAGAGGTAGTGATGCTTCAAGACAGGATGCCCTTTAGCTCTTCTGCAGATACATGCGGGTTTGGGGAGGGTGCTGGAGGGGAGGGAAGAGGACAAGAAGGGAGGACGGGGCATGAGTGATGTCCCTTGGCTTCTACAGTCGTGGCTAAATACATCTTAGGAGGCGGGGGAGAGGACCTACCAAGCAAGAGCACAAAGCACTTGCCACCTCGGTGAGGGGCAAATTCAACACGACTGATGGATTTCAGGATGAGACACGAAGGCAGAGGGGCCTGAAGCTGCTGACACGGGCGTGGGGATGGCCGCATGCGCACAGGCCAGACTTCTGTGTGGGTCCCTGGCAGACAGGGACGGAGAGCCGCGCTCCAGGCACAGAGTCTCAGCACAGGGGACCTGGCAGGCTGAGCTGCTCTCTGTGGCGCCGCGGCCGCGATGGCCCGGAGATCGGCCCCAATCATTTGAAAACCCGAAGCTCCTTTTTAAAAAGCTTCACACACTCCCATGAGGGACTTAGACCCTCGCGCAGCCACGTTCACGGGAGTGTGACTCACCAGAGGACGTGCAAGCACCCCGGGTGTCAGCTGACGGACAAATGGATAAGCAAAATGTGGTCTCCGCGTGTGGCGGCATATCATGCAGCCATGAAAAGGAAGAAAATCTGGCATGTGCTATGACACGGATAAACCTTGAGAGTGTCACGCCAAGTGACATAAGCCAGGCACCAAAAAGACAAGCACCATGTGACTCCACTTACTCTGACATCATCATAGAGTAGGGATCACCAAGGACTGCGGGGAGGGGACATGGGGAGGCAGCATTTGGTCACACAGCAGAGTGAATATACGTAACAGCCGTATTCCGTACAGCTGAGAACAGTCGGCATGGTCACCTTTGTGATCTAGATTTCACTACGATTTCTAGAAACACCCCCCACCCCCAACACACACACTCCAGTAGTCAGTCCAACACGTGCAGTCTACAAGACTTTTGTCCATCTTCACCTTGGAGGTCAACACGGCCTTCGTCATTCATAAGCTCAGCAGGGAGGCCACCACCGGGCCCAGGAGAACCCCCGGACAGGGTGACTCTGGGCAGGAACCCCCGGACAAGGTGTCTCCTGGCAGGGAAGCCCCGGGCAGGGTGACTCCGGGCAGGGAAGCCCCGGGCAGGGTGACTCCGGGCAGGGAACCCCGGGACAGGGTGGCTCCAGGCAGGGAAGTCCTGGACAGGGTGACTCTGGGCAGGGAACCAAGGCTCGTCCGCATGGGAGCTGGCATGGCGCAGGGTCCAATGGAGATAGCTGAGCACCACCAGCAGGATTTTCTTGCTCCCGCATCCTCAAGTCCAGGCAACACTGCCCGCCCCCCAGAACGTGGCCTTGCCTGCCCACCAGCCCCACCCCTCACGTCCTCTGCCTGCTTCCTGCTCCAGGAGCCTCTGCCCCGGTGGCACTCTTCCCTCTGCCCTGTGCTGCCTCTGAGCCGGGCCCCTGCCCCGCCCCTCCCCTGTCATCACGCCCTCCGCCTCCTCTGAATGCTGCAGACCTCAGCCAAACGTGGTGCAGGGACTTGAGTTCATGCCCGAAGTCTTGCGGGGATTGTCACCAAGACTGTAGCTCAGGGCTGAGCGTCCAAGGGGCCATTCCTTCCTGGCTCTGGGAGGGAGCGCTGCCCGCTCCCCTCCCCAGGGAACCTGACCCCGGTGGAGGGAAGCACACCAGTGGGTCGCTGAGCCCTGGAGCGACAGATGCCTCAGGCCAGTTAGAGGTGGAACTCGCAGTGCACAATAAACGACGGACATTTACAGATCGCATTAATTTGGAAAGGTCATTAGAGCAAACTGCTTCTCTGAGTGAAAGTGAATAGTGTGGATTGGTTTTTTTCAGTGTCCTGAATTTGTTTTTTTGTTGTTTTTTTCTTGGAATGTGCTTGAAAAGCTCAAAAAACAGTGTTATGAGCTAAAAAAAAAAAGGGGGGGGGGAATCCAGGCTCCTGAGGCAAGAGGAGGCCCATGACTGAGAGCTCTGGACAAGCCCCTGCCTTTCTCAGAGCCTGCATCTCGGCACCTGTAAGAGGAGTGATCGCTAAGCTCCTTCCAACTTAAAATTTAAAAAAAAAAATTATGATATGAGGTAAGCATGTGATGTTAGCAAGTTTCCAAGCTAACGGTTAAGTCCCCTCTCCAGCCCTCCCATCCTCCCAGGTGCGGGACTCCCCTGCCCCTCCAGGTAGTGCTCCGCAGCCAGGACAGGAGCCTTCTAATGATCTCAGGTGGCTTCCCGGATCCTGACCTGGAGGCTCTCTCAAAACCCCCACAACCCCGCTACCTGGTTCTCGCTCATTAGATCATTAGAGGACGCTCCGGGCTAATGACTTGTTTTCTCGAATCTCCAGGAATGGCTGGGAATGGGCCAAGGGGTAGCATTTGGGCTGTGTCCGCCCGGCCCCTGGCTCCAGGCCTGGCTGGTGCGGTCTGTCAGGAGCCAGGCCCCCGCAGGCAGATGCCGCTGGTTCTCCCGAGGTGCGGGGCAAGCAGCATTCACGGAGTGGCGGGCTCTGCCTCCAGCCTGCTGTCACGGGGACAGATGGTGGGCCCCCGACCAGACCGCACAGGCCCATGGGCCTGCCCCCTGCCGCCCCACCTCCCTTCTGCCCACCGGAAGGCGGGATGCGCACATCACCCAGCTCCCACCTCCAGACCCCTGGTGGCTTGAGCAGCAGCAAGGAGACTGGGTATGAATCAGGGCCGTGGAACTCACAGCCCAATACTAATACAAACATCAACAACAGGATTAGTTAATATTAACTAATATTTGGGTGATACGTTCTTATTGAAAGAGTATTTTCCCACTTGCTCGTGGGGCAGGCAGGATAGCCTCGATGCATTTACTGAGCACCTGCTGTATCCCGGGGGCTCTTTGCTGCCCCCGGGGGGATGCAGACGTGAAAAGGCATCTCCTGCCCGCAGACTCCCTCCAGGATGGTTGGGAGCTGGGAAGTTGGAGGCAGAGAGAAGCTGTGTAACCTTCTCAGAGGCACCGCTCAAACCGAGCCCTCGGATGCGGAGGCCCTTCCCAATCATTTCTGCATGGCCTGTGAGTCTAGTGTGAAATCCGGCCTGCACGACGTCACCCCGAAGGGATCAGCCAGCAGACAGCATGGTTTGGGGGCTGTGTAGCTTATGCCCCAAATGAACCAAAGCCTGGGATGTCAGGCCACGGTGGCCCTGGATACCCCAGAGGGGCAAACCCCAGCCCAGGTATAGGCCAGAGTTGACTGCAGACATGGCCTTGACCTCCCATGGCCCCTCTGCTCGTGGAGAAGCGCCCTTCCTCCATCAGAAGGGCTGCGGAGACGCTGCCTTGAGAACCAATGCAAATTATTATTATATTTTGTCTGCACTAATCTTTGTTTTCTAGGAGCTGCCGCAGCACTTACAGTCAGCACACAACACAAACTGATGTTGTTCTCCTGAGGGTCTTTACTGGCTTTTTGAAAAAGCAGAACGTCCATGCTTGGAGGAGCCCTATCAATCCCTCAATGCACAGCCAAGGAGATGATTTACCCCAAACAAGTCATGCCAAAGATAAAATCAGAACCAGGACCCAGGTGCCTAGACTCCCAGGCTGAGGCCTGCAGACACGCACCCTCCAAGGTGCGAATGTAGGCTCCGGCGGGGTCCTGCTCACTGTGAGCCCCCACGGCAGCCCCTGGGCGAGCACGCGTGGCCTGCACGGTGGCTAGCACAGGCACATTGCCTTCTCCGCCCCCTCGATGACACTTGAGTGATCAGCTCTGCCTCCTAGCCTTGGGTTGTGAGCCTCCCAGGGAGGGGCAGAGGCCACACAGGAGGTGCCACTGGGGACAGAAAGAGCACAGTCCCTGTTGCCGGGCCCCGCGGCTCTCAGGAGGCTACCACATGTCATGGTTTGGGGCAAGGCTGACCCTGTGGTGCCACCTTTTGCAAGCGACTTAACCTCTCTCTGCCTCCGATTTTCCCCAGCAACACAGGCCAGGATAAGGGTGCCTGTTTCCTACTTCACGAGGGTGAAGTGAGAATTAAGTGAGAAAATGGAGGGAACATGAGAGGCACAGGGCCTGGCACCTGTGTGTTCTCAGGTGAGCTCGGGGACCAGAGTTCCCCTGGCACGTCAGCTCCATGAAGATGGAGACAATCGGGAGAGGCTGACGCACCACACATTGCCGGCGCTACAGTGTCTGGAGACAGTAAGACCAGTGGTCACCAGGGGAAGAGAAGATGAACAAGTAGGTGGACCCCAGGGGTTTTTTAGGCAGTGACACTATTCTGCACAACACCACAGCAGTAGAT